CCAGGGTCTCAGATCTGGTGGAGAACAAGGCTGGAAGTCAGTCTGCCTAGATGAAATCCAACTCTGTGTCTTTCACCTGTGTGACCCAGGGCAGGTGCTGAATAAAAAATCCTAGCATGGACTTGGCACACATTAGGTGGTCAAGTCAGCTATCATTGCTCCTGACACATGAAGTCACTTATGCCACAGGACTGGGAAGTTACCGGATGATTCTGATCGGGGTCTCAGTGGTCTTCTTCCTGCTCTTCCTTCTCATCTTCCTTTTTCTCCGATGGAGATGTCAGGACAAATGCAGGACAGAAGGTGAGTAGGATGTGGGTGTCCAGAGTCTAAGGAGGTGGAGGGCTCCCCTGTGGACCATCCAAGCAGGGGTTCAGAGCACCATCCAGACTGGGGCAAGAAAGCTCAGAAATACTTCCCCAGAATGTCATATCAGAAACACATGATCTCAGTACATGTGCAAGAGTCTGGTGTTCTGCTAGCTGCTCATCTGGAACATTTGCACACTTACCCCCTTGTGGCATAAGTTCCTTTTCTTCCCTGAAAGTTCTAGGAGAAGGGTTTCCCACCCCTAGCTGAGACTCCCCTCTCTTTCAGTCCAGAGTGAAATCACTGACATACAACTTCCTGAAGACTCTGAGGAGCCAGTGCCCAGGGAGAGAGGTCCTCAGAAGAGGTAATTCAAGCCCAGTCACCCAGATGCCCACTTGTCTGCCACTCCTCACCACCAGCTCATGCCCCTTTGTGCCCTCAGATCCTGCCCAGCTACTGCCATCAAGAAAGAAATCAAGTGTGAGAGAAGAGGGCCCTGGGGATGGAGACACCTGAGGTCTTGGCAACACAGGGGTGGAGGGGAGAGGCTGTGGTCAGGGCTCAGTGGGAATGAACTCTTCCTATAGACTGGGGGCACCACAACGCTTCCTGCCTCTGTCCCCACGTGGGGCATCAGAGGGATCTAAGGACCTGAACAATCCCAGGACTTTGGCTAGGAGACAACTCTCTTGTTCTTTCCACATCAGATGCTTCTCTGAAGATCCCACAGCCAAAGTCCAGCATGGAGCTGTACAGTCTGGTGAGACCCTGTCCCAGTTGACAGTGCTGTAACCCTTCCAGCCCAATTTGGTCCAGGGTCCTTCTCTGTCCTCCCCTCTCTCAGCCCTCAGTCACATCCACCGCTGATCCCTTCCTTTCAGAAGCACCTGTCACTTTCTATGAGAACCCCATTCCATCTTGGTTTTCCTGGAACCACATGTCCCTTCTCTATCTCTTTAGCTCCTCAGCATCTCTCTAGCTGTTACCATGTTCCCAGTGTCTCAGAAGGACACCTGAGAGGCTGCAGCTACAGCTCAGTGGTAGAGGGATTATCTTCCATGTACAAGGCTCTGGGTTTGATATCCTGCACTGAGAACAGAACCAGAAGGACAAATTAATAAATTAGACCCTGTGAACCTGCCCCAGCCACACACAGGGACTCCCTCTTTTTCTGTGCTTTTCTTTACTTATGTATTTGTGTGTGTGTGCACACGTGTGGAGGGCCAAGATTGGCATTGGGTGACTTTCTCAATCCTCTCTACCTTATTTTTGAGACAGATTTCCCACTGAACCTAGAGCTTGTTGATTTGCCTAGAGCACCTGGTCAGCAAGCCCCAGGCGTCCCCTGTCTCTCCCTCTCCAGTGCTAGGTTCACAGACTTGCCTAGACATTACATGGCAGGGTGCTGGGGATCGAACTCCAGTCCTCATTCTTGTCAGCAACCATATTATTGGCTGAGCCATCGCCCAGACCCTGGAGAGAAAGGGGAAGTAGAGCAGACAGGGCCAGTGTGAATCACCAGGGCTCTCACAGGTGTCTTCCCAGATAGGAAGGAGACACTGCAGGCAATTAGGTCCTGGGGCAGGAGCAGGTTTTCTCAGGAGTTGGGTTGTGTTACTGGAGATCAGAGTTGAAAAAGGGAGCTGACAGATACCTCAGGTCTCAGGAAGCCCCTGAAGACACATTAGGTATGCTATAGTCTGATTTAAATGTCTAAAGCAGTACTCTGGACACCCTGTAGAATCTGACTGGCAAGAGCTCAGGGGAACCAAGAGACATTGTCTCACTGTCTCCCTTCTGCAGAACCCACCTAATGAAGACCCCCTGAAAGAGATGTACACCCAGGGCAAACCCTCCAGGCTCGGGAGGGCAGGGGCCACCTCTCCTCCTTCTACCTTGTCAAGTGAATTACTGAACTCAAAGAACAGGGAGTCGAAGACAGAGATGAACAGAGAGGTGAGTCTTGTCCTCCCCAGGCCCCAGGCTCCCAAATCCATGCTAAGAACTTACCTTCTTCTCACCTTCTTTGACCCCAGGCTTCTGTGTCTGAGGGTCCTCAGCATGTGTCCTATGCTCACCTGTGTATCATGACACCAGGAAAGGCACAGCTGAGCCTCCTGCCTCCCAGTCCAAAAAGTGAAAGATGAGACCAGGCAGCCCTGTGCTCTGGTGTCCCTGAGCCCAAGAAGACATTGAACCCACATCTCATGGAGAGTCACTCAAGGACACCTGAGAGACAGGGTCTGCCCTGAGTGGACAGCGACCTTTCAGAACCCACCTGTCTCCAGGAGATTCTGGGAATTTTGTGGTCTCCATTTTATTGTTCAGTAGAGATACTAGTGTTTCTGAATTTTGTAAATAAAGCCAAAGACTTGTCACTAATCAAAGAATGAAATGAGAAAAAGAAAAGTAGATTAAGAGAAGGTTTTTTTTAACATGACTGTATTGTCAATCATCCTTCAATAAAACTAAAACTTGAATGATAATAAAACGTGGAACATCTATCCATGAAATGAAAATTCAGAACCATAACTAAATAAATAAGAAAATAGATCATGGCCTCATAATCATACTGATAATTCAGAAGAAAAACATCCTATTCTAAATAAAGGAATGGAAAAGGAAATGATGTATAAACAGATGCCATGAGCTACAATCATGATATTACAGGACAGTAATTACAATTAGTCATGTGGCTGAGGCAGGGGGCTCACAGCTTCTAGGCCAACATGGTCTAAATAGAGTGTTCAAGGAAAGCATGTGGGACTTTGAAGAACATCTCAAAATCAAAATCAGAAGGCACTTGAAGATATATCTCAGTGGTTGAGCACTTCCCTGGCACATGAATAAATAACATGAAAGGAAAGAGAGAGATAGAGAGAGATAGAGAGAGAGTGAGAGAGCAAGAGAGCAAAAGAGAGAGAGAGAGAAACTATTAAATGCAAGAACTAACGGTTTATGTGGACACACCCAGGAATGTTGTCACGGGATCACATACTAGTTCTGATTTGTAATTTTTCAGGAACATCTACACAGACTTCTATGCTGGCTGAAAATACTTTGATTTATTACAGAAAAATAGCATACACGTGGTCTTTTCCCCACATTCGTAACAGCGTTTTTCTTAATTTATTGCATTTTATAGTGTAAACAGAAGGGGATTCACTGTGATATTTTCATGAATGATGTCACCAAACGTGGTTCATATTCAACAACTTCCTGCTGTCCTCTCTGTCCCTATTTGTTCCGGATGCTGGTCCCCTCCTTCCACACTAATAGTCCCCTTTCCTCTAGTATCATGTACACATGCATTTCATTCTAAATTGCACATAGGAGAAACATGGAACTATTGTATTTTATTATCTGTTACCCTTTCCAGTTTCTCCTCCTGTCAGCATGCTTCATCATCACAACTGGCTCTCCTTGGACTTTCTTATCACATATATGTATTTTTAAATCTTGGTTATTTTTATGAGAAAATACACATCAGTTTTCATTTTCCTGATGAATACAAGTGCCTCGATCACAGTCCACCTTCACCCTCACTGGTCACCTTCCTCCTTCCCGCCTCTCTGCTCTCAATGAAAACAGCCCCACTTTGGCTACCATGTACGATATCTCTAGTTCATTTTTCCAAAGGAAGTCACTTCATTCTTCTTAAACCTGGATAAAACCCCATATGACCAATTTTCCTCATCACTCATCTGCTGATAGACACTGAGACTATTCGGTATATTCACTACTGGGAATAGTGCAGCAATAAACATGGTCTGCAAGTACCTCCATGGGCTACCATGTAGAATGGGAAAGCTGTATCACAGGGGAACTCTTTGTTTACTGAGGAATCTCCACACTGATTTCCCCAGTGTCCACAAATTTTCCATCATAATTAGCAATAAATACACAAGGGTTCCTGTTCTAAACATTTCACTGTGATTACTCTTGTTAGTTATCTCTATGCTGCCCCTCTTAGTGGCGAAGAGATGGGGTTGTGAATACGAACTTTTGCCTCCATCCCTGCCTAGCAGTGCTGCTCTTCTCACAGCAGCAGGACCACGTTGATTCTTACAGATTTTCCACCGACATAAAGAGACATCTCAGAATACATTCATTGTGCAGAAGACCCTGGACATGGGGACCGAGCACCTTGGTTGGGTTTGATTTATCAAAGCAACTGAAACATCAAACTCCCCAACCCCTCACAGTCTGTGCTGCCCTCTGCTCAGGCTTCAGACCTGCATGTCACAGTGTGGCCTCGCCCCAAGGACTCAGTTCATTTGCACTGCTATTCAGTCTTTTTAATTTTTCAGGTTCACATACAAAGCAGTGGTTTCACTTTGGCATCTCAGTACATGTGTTTCATTAAGCTCTGTAGTGACTAAGACTGAAGGCCACAACTGGCCAAATTGCAGAGAGTAAGAGGCCACAGATGTCTGTCCCAGGACAAGACATCATATGAAACATCAGCCACCCGGGGCTCAGCGACAGTGTGGAAGTGGGGCCAGAAGGACTGTAGGGGCAGGTGCATGATCACAAGGAAACGGAGTCTTCCAGGTGTTCGGGAACTTGTTCTTAATAGCTAACTTACCACAATGGTGACAGCATTCACAAGACTCATGCACTCTTAATCAGGCAAAAACCTAGCAGAGAACTGGGGAAATGTACAGGAGGCCTCGACCTTAGCCGAGGAACTACTGGCAGATGATCAATGCTCAGTGAGGGAGAGTATGCCTTGTTTAGGAGAGTGATGCTAGATGGCTGACCAGACTCCAGTGACTGAACTCACACCAAGGGAC